CCTCCTGACACCCACCCTTCAGATACTTGTAGGCATTTATAAGGTCCCCTCGCAGCCTTCTCTTCTTCAGGCTGAACAAGCCCAGCTCCCTCAGCCTCTCCTCGCAGGGGAGATGCTCCAGTCCCCTCACCATCCTCGTAGCCCTCCTCTGGACTCTCTCCAGTAGCTCTTCATCTTTCTTGAACTGGGGAGCCCAGAACTGGACACAGTACTCCAGATGAGGCCTCACCAGGGCAGAGCAGAGGGGAAGGAGAACCTCCCTCGCCCTGCTGCCCACACTCTTCTTGATGCACCCCAGGATCCCATTGGCTTTCTTGGCACCCAGGGTACACTGCTGGCTCATGGTTAACCTGTCGTCCACCAGGACACCCAGGTCCCTCTCCGCAGAGCTGCTCTAGAGCAGGGGAAGGAAGGGAGAAGCAGGAGGGGAAGAACGGACTCCGTGGAAGCTGATGAAAAACTGACAAAAGCCACCCCTGCTGCAGTAACGCTCAGCAGCTTTCACAGTAACCAGTGTTCAGAGTAACGGGGGGCTGCATCAACAGACGCTGCTCCTACCCTAGATCCGTCGAAGCAGCTCCCAGCAAAGGCTGAGGAACACGGCCCTCCTGAGACCACACGTGAGAGCAGTTTCACCCGTAACTTCCTTCCGTCCCTCGCAGTCTGTAAGGTGGGAAAGCTGATGTGGCTGGATGCTGGCACGGGTAGATACCAACTCTTCAGGACAAGGGGCAACGGGCACAAACTGAGGCACAGGAAGTTCCAGCTGAACATGAAGAAGAACTTCTTCCCTCTGAGGGTGACGGAGCCCTGGCCCAGGCTGCCCAGGGAGGCTGTGGAGTCTCCTTCTCTGGAGATATTCCAGCCCCGCCTGGACAAGGTCCTGTGCAGCCTGCTGTAGGTGACCCTGCTTGGGCAGGGGGTTGGGCTGGGTGACCCACAGAGGTCCCTTCCAACCCCTACTATTCTGTGATTCTGTGATTCAGCAAAGACAGTGAAGAAGATGAGTCAAAGAGGGTGGCACTGCCCATACGAGCGTGTGGGACAACACGAGTTGAATCCAAGGGTCCTGGGGCAGCCCACCAGTGTCCTTACAAGGCCCCTCTCTACCAGCTTGGAAAAGAAATGAAGATCGTGGGAGGTTCCCCACAACCAAGAAAGGCAAACGTTGCACCCGCCTTTAAAAAGGGCCCAAAAGACAACCTGAGAGCAGACAGACTTGTCAGCCTCACTTTTCTCCCTGGGAAAATCATGGAGTGACTCCTCTTGGAGCACATTTCTGGTCACACAAAGGAGATGATGATGACTGGAAGCAGTTAGCATGGATTTACCACGGGTAAATCAGGCCTGACGAGCCTGATTGATTCTGTGATCAAATTACTGGGCTTGTGGATGGGAGAAGAGAGACGCCTGTCATTCATCTCGACTTTCGCAAGGCATTTGAGTTCCTGCCCCACAATACCGTATGTGAGCTGGGACGCTGGGGTCTGGGTGGTGGACAACCAGACGGGCGAGCGGCGGGTGAGGTGGCCAGCGCTGAAGAACCACGCTCTGTACTCTGCGTGGAGGCTGGTAACGAGCGAGTGCCTCGGGGCACCGGTCCTGCGCCGCACTTTTATTCGGGGGAGGCAACGGAGCACTCGCTGAAGTGTGCAGGCAACGCCAAATTTGCGGGGAGCGGTCACTCTGCTCGAGGGCAGAGCTGCCACCAGCGGGACCAAGCCAGGCTGGAGGATCAGGCCAGCAAGTACCTTGCAAGGACAAATGCAACGTCCTGCCCCCGGGAAGGAAAAGCCCCTGGCAGCAACACAGGCTGGGGGCAGCTCTGCTGGAGGGGACCTGGGGGTCCTGGCAGACACAAGCTGAACTTGTGCCCTGGCACCCACGGCATCCTGGGCTGCAGGACCACAGCCAACAGACCAAGGGAAGCGATGATCCCCCTTGGCTAAGCGCTTGTTAGACCACATGTCAGTTCTCTGTCCTGCTCTGGTGCCTCTAATGCAAGGAAGACATCAACAACCAGGAGCAGGCTGAGGGCCACCGAGATGCTCAGGGGACTGCAGCGCTTGCCCTGTGAGGAGAGGCTGAGGGACTGGGGCTTGTTCAGGCTGCAGAAGAAAAGAGGTCGAGGGACACCTGGCACTCACCATTCTGTTCCTAATGGGAGGCCAGCAGGAAGGTGGAGCCAGGCCTGTCACAGTGGTGCAAGGCAGGAGGACATGAACAAACAGGCAAGAGTCAGCCAGGATATAAGGAAAAACTTCCTCCCCATGAGGAGCAGGGGCCCAGAGAGGTTGTGCCTCCTCCATCCTTGGAGGTTTCCAAGATGCAGCTGGCCAGAGCCCTGAGCGAGCTGGTGGAGGCCAAGCCGCCCTGCCCTGAGCTGGAGGTTGGACTGGAGACCCCCCGAGGTCCTACCACCATGCACGGTCCCAGGATTCTAACATCTTCAGAGCAGCACTGGAAAGGCTGGATAAGCTGACGTGCAGAAAGTACAAATCCCTCGCGGCCGTAACGCAGCAGCAAAACATGGGGAAGTCAGAGAGGAAACCAAACGATGACAAAAATTAAATGGAGATGCTGGAAGAAAACAGTTCACCCATGATGAAAATGGATGTGGCAATAGTTTGGGATGTGCGAAACCAAAGTAAGGACAGAAACCGATATGCCATGACCTCCTGCCCCGGAGGCGTGACATGGGCCAGACAACAGGCCAGCCGATATGCCGTGACCTCCTGCCCCGGAGGCGTGACATGGGCCAGACCACAGGCCAGCAGCGGCAGGATCCTGGCCACAGCCAGGAAGGGCAAAAGCCTCATCAGAATCACGAGAAACAAAGACACCAAACAACACTTTAAGTACTCTCAGTAACACGAGTGTGGATTACTTAGGCCATTAGTCTATTTTAATAATTACTCTATGCTAGCTAACAATCTCACAAAATACCCTACCTGCTCCAGTCCCTCTTAGGTCTCCCCTGTTGCTACGCCCCTAAGCGCAGACGCAGTTGCTCCTGGGGCAGGGGGCTCCGGAGCTGGGCTCCTCCAGGAACGCTCTCCGCCTGCTGTGCTAACGAACCCTTCAGGTTTAATCCCAGCTAGCAGGAAAATTGCAAAAGGCTTTTAAACTATCGTTTTATGCTAAAGACTTCACACACCTGGCACTGCATTTCACAGAATCACAGAATCACAGAATGGTCAGGGTTGGCAGGGACCTCTGTGGGTCCCCCAGCCCAACCCCCTGCCCAAGCAGGGTCACCCAGAGCAGGGGGCACAGCACCGCGGCCAGGCGGGGCTGGAATATCTCCAGAGAAGGAGACTCCACAGCCTCCCTGGGCAGCCTGGGCCAGGGCTCCG